AATATATATATATATATATATATATATATATTTATTTATTTATTTACATAGACCAAAATTAATATTTTGAAATTTGAGAGGATGCATGAAAAACAATGAAATTTTTCTACATGAACTAAAATGAAAAGTTGATTATTTTATGAGGAATAAAAATATATTTAAAGCTTATTTTATATCAATGTATGGATAATTTATTTCCCATTAAAATGATGTTTTTATCTTATATTTGATTAGATTTAACTTAATTTTGTTTTTTTATTTTAAACTTAATTATATCATGCAAGCATTGCAATGCATAGACGATATTTTAGTTAAGAAACCTCTAGGATTAGTCTATTGATCGGAGAATAATGAATTAGGATAAAAGTATGAGAGTTTATATTTAATTTTTATTATGATTATCTTTGTAAACTTATTGAAAAGAAGGGGAAAAAAATTAGTTAAGAAACGGTAGTAGTACACCAATACTTAAAAAAAAAAGAAAAAGAAAGTCAATTCTTAATTACTTATTCTGCAGTTATTGAACATTTTTAGCCCTGTCTCTCTCTTTTTGAAAGAATTGCTTTCTCTCTACTTCCAATTCTTGAAGCATATGATAATGGATAAAGAAAGTGGTATATGTTTGTCATATTTAGGTGTTTAAATTCATAAGAAATGAAGTCATTGTACACCATTCAGATTTCCGATATAAACTTGTAGTGGGTAGATGAGAGAGATGCCCTTTTGAGTGGCTAGATTCCTCATGCTACCTTTATCTTTAACTTTGGACAGCATTCCATCCCCATATTCGTGCGACATCCGTCTATAAATAATGTAGCAATAGGAAACTACAACTCTCACTTTCTTTTTTTCTTTTTTTCTTTTTTTCTGAAGCCGCTCTAAAAAAAACGCAAGTGTTACTATACCTACATCTTACCTATGATGTTTCACTTAACCTCCAAGTCGTTGTTCTTATTATTAATTTTTTTCCTAAAGGCTTTTTGGACATATAATACGTGGTGTTGGCTCAATGATTTACAATTACAAGCAATTTGATCTTTGCATATATCTTGACTTGTGAGGAGGCCGCGTGGTCCTGAAGAAGGTACCAAAAGCCAAAAGGAAAATCTGAATTTGAATTGTGTAAGACCTTGAGTATAGAATGACCAAAGACCAATCTTCGAAGTGCAGCAAAATAATTACTGGAGGACTAGAAGAAGATCAAGTGGAGCAGGAAAAAGAGAGGTAGAGGATGGGAATTAGTGGGCATAAAAGCTGAAAAAATGTTTAACCAAGCATTTGAGAAGGGGCATATTTAGAAAATAACATTACCAAACTTAGCAAGTGCATGTTAATTTTCTTTTGATCCCAATGTTTCGTGTCTTGCCATCTATGGTAACAATGTCAATAATAACCTTTAGAAAAGCTTGGAGAAAAAAAAAGTGTGATTGGTGATTGGTGAGTGGCAATTTAGACTTGGCCCGTGCGCTGACCCTTAAACTTTTTTTCTGAGCAAGTGCAAGCATACCTTCCTTGTAATACATATGATACCGCGCGTGCAAAATTGAGCAAAGCCAATTTGCCACTCCCTCCACTTCAGAGTCCAATTTACAAGTGAGGGTCATGATCAGAATTCAGGGCTTACAAATCCTCTTCAAATCACTCATAATTACGTAATCATCCTTCCCTTTTTGTTTTACTTTTCAGATTCCCCTCATGTTTTTGTTTGTTTATATATACTCCATCTCTCTCTCATCACCTTAATCTTCTTTTGGGACACGGGTGCCAAGGCAGTTTCGGAATCTTCTACTTTGCGGTTTAAATAGGATAATAACTAGTTCAACTTGAACCAAATTATAATATTTTCATTGGAGGAAAAAGTTCTGCCACCATTATTTTTAAGTGTTAGGTCTATTAAAGTAAGAAAGAATTCACAAGGCATCAGAACTTGATTTGCTAAAACAGCGAGCGCGGAATCATAAACAATTTAACTATATGTTTATGAAAATCAGTCAGAATCTTTCTTGTATACTCCGTTACATGACTTTTTTCACCAACATACCATTATATCTCAGAATTTTGGACTCGGACCGACTCGACCCTAAAAGCTAATTCACGAGATGAGAGTGACTCTTTTTATATATATGCTACTTTGGTTAATAAAATTCTTCAAAAAATAAAATGTGAAATAAATGAGCAAGAAATTATTTATGGCATTGATGAGGATGCGGTTCATTTATGGAAATTTAATCTTAAGCTTTGATTACAAGGATGCATTGTTCTGCTGCATCATCAAAGGCTGTGTAAATTAATTTGGCAGTCTCAAATAAAGGATAACCTAATGGCCTATTCATTTTTTATCCAAACTCGGAGATGTCGACAGTGGCTTTATTTAAATGATTTTATTCTTTAACTCTTTTTGATGCATGAATTTCACGGTTACACCACCCACTAGAGTTCAACTGTTGATAATTAATTCAAAGCAAAGTCTTTTATTTTTTTATTTTCCTGCAAATTCAAACTCAAGTCTAAGAAAAATTAATAGGTGATTCTGAATCTCATAATTTCTAACTAATTTTTATGTGATACGCTAATATATAATTAATTAAGTATTGTTGATTTTTTTTCTTGTAAATTAAAGGTCATATAAAGATTAGTTGAAAGCATAAAAAAAGAAATACTTGATAAACTATCTAATAATTTTTCCGAATCTAGATGCAAAAATTGACGACCTCGTTCATGCGAGAATTCGAATTCACCTAGAAAGGAATATAATCATTTTTCTTTATGATATGAATAGTAAGTTAGGGCGTGGATTTATTTTTCGTTTTAAGGAAATATTTACTTTAAGTATGATTTTTAAAATAAAATAAAATTTATAGCATACCCTTTCAATAATCTTTATTCATTCTTTTAACAAATATTTTATAATCTCTAAATTTTAAAAAAAATATTGCCAAAATACTTATAAAAAAAGTATTTACTCTAATTTATACACTTTTGTTACTCCAGATTTGAATATAAAAAAAAATCAATTCATGCTAATTAAGAAAGGTTATTTACATTATTTAATTCATTTTGTCAATCTCATATGAAAAATAACTTATTTTCCTAAACTATCATTCTTTGAAACCTGATATAAAAAATAATAGGAGATATTGAAAATATAAACTTATCAATTAAATGAAATGTATTTTAGAGATGACAATATTAAATAGAATGAAATTTGCTTATATATTTGAGATCAATAAATATGAAAAAAAATTTGTTTATATTTAGAACCAGAAATAATACTTAAGTTATTATAGTTTTGAAATATTTAGTAAAATTCATGTGAATTTAATTGAAATTTACTAACAATTTAAATATTATCTGTTAATCACATATTGTTATATCAAATATGACTTCTGATTAGTTCATGACAAAAAAAAAAAAAAATCATTCTATTTCATTGACCTGCATAAATATTAAACTCAATTCTTATACGCACTCATAAACATTTTTAAATAAATCCCTACGGTTTCAACAAATCGTTAACTGAATATATCTGCTAATTATGAAATTGTATAATTAAATGCCAAAAACTTTTAATAGCAATATAGAATGGCCAGGCAGATAATTTATGATGACAGCTATCAACTAGGACGAAATTATTTATAAAAAATTTAAAAGTAAAGTTATAAGCTCATGAAGTGTAATATTTAACCATAATTAATCCTACCCTCTATTAATTCTTTTGCAAACTCCTTTATCCTAGACATAACCTAGAGCTATGCGTCTCAAATTTATTACAACATGTCGCAAAATTTATATACCCATGGTCCATGACAATAACAGCTATTCTGGATCAAGACTTATATGTATAATTAGATATGAAGTAGTAGTAGTCACAAATTCAAAGCAAACATAACTATGGGAGATGAAACTTAACAATTGGGGAGGAGCATCTAAAACACAACTCCTCAGCAATCACAACATAGGACACAAAAATCATATACTATACTGCTTAATATACTTCCCTAGTAATTATACAATTATATTATATTTTATATATACGTACACACGAGTTTGCTTTACATAGAGAATTTAATTAGTGGATCAGCAATGATCTATGTCATTGCCTGGAACGGACTGAGGAAGGCCTTCTTGCAAGCAAGAGATTGGAGGAATGGTTAGTGTCTGGGAATTTCCATAGGCACTCCAGCAGAAAGGGTCAAGCATTATATCTCCTAGTGCTGGAAGTAGCTCAATATCTGAGAGTGTTAAGTTGGTGCATGGAACAGAGTCACTGCAGGCAAAATGCATTGGTGGGTGCCTTATATCATATGTTCCCTTTATGTTTGTGTAGAGTATATCCGTTACAAACACTGCAGAGGTCTTGTTGCTGCAATCCTTAGTGAGGCAATAAAACTGGTCAATTATGATTGGATTCCTTACACTTTCCATGTGAATATTGCTGAATGTCACTCTTGATACTGATCCTGATCCACCTTGCCATGTCTTGATTCTAACCCCGTTATCTGACACTTTTATGACCGAGTCCCTCACCGTAATGTTTGAAACACAGGCTCTGGAGTTGTGATTTCCCAGACTACCAATGCTGAATTAATTAAATTAATAAGGTTAACTAGAGAAACTATTTAGAAAGTTAGAAACCAATATAATATATGGACCCTTTGTTGAGAAATGAGAATGAGTAAAAATGTTAATTAATTACCTAATCCCATGACCAGGTCCACATGTCATGTTCTTTATATCAACATCATGGCAACCGGCTCCAATGGACACGCAGTCATCACCTGTATAAGGATAATTCATTAAACATATATAGTATTTTGTTAATGACTTTTGATGCAATAGATGAAGAAAAGTGGGGGGTTATTATTTCGTGACCAACCATTAGAAATGACCGAATTGTATATTTTCACGTCATTGGTATTTTCTATGTGTATTCCATCCGTGTTGGGGCTTAGTGCTGGAGCTGTAATGAAGATTGAATCCACGTGGACACTTTCGCAGCCATCAAATCTAAAATGGAATTGGGGGCTGTTCTTGATCCTAAGTCCTTGTACAGTCAAGTTGGAACTCATGAAAAACCTTATGGCCTGTGACAACATGTAGAGTTTACATTACATATGAACAATTATTTTCAGTCACATTGCATCATGCATTTGAGTTTGGACAACTTACAACTGGGCTGTCACAAGGTCCTGGAGATGTTGTCCCATTAGGTCCCTGTTGTGTTTTTGTAGAGATCAGATGTTGTTTGAAGCATCAAAATTGAAATTATGGTTTTGTTCTTAACATTTTTAAATCATCAATAGTATACCTTATGAGGCTTGCAAGGAAGGTCCCACCATTTTGCTCCTCTCCCATCTATTACACCACTTCCTTCAAGTGACATTCCATTGATTCTGTAAAAGACAAGCCATTGACGCCTACTGTTGTTCTTTGGCCATGATTCAGGTCCATCAGGTGGTATAAGAGTGCCATCAACCTTCTCCACCAGTGCCAACAAAGTTAATTAGTGAACTTTTACCCTTAACCATATGTAAGATAGAAAATAATCTTTGTACCGCAAAGAGTTTTTATACTGTTGTCCAATCAGAAATTGTCATCTACAATAATTTCAATAACTTCAACAAAAATTACTCAAAAAATAGTGATTTTTAATTAGTTCACGTTATAGGAAAACAATACATAAAAATCAAACTTTGTCTAAGAACCAAAATGTTGCAATTTGCAAAGTACATTACCTTTAGTACTAAGCCACCTTTACAGGGACCAGTGAAAATAGTAGATTGAATAATGAAAGAGAGACCACGGGGAACGATGATTGTTTTAACCGATGATTCACTCTGGCAGGCAGTGTCCCAAGCCATCTTGAATGACTCTGTATCATCTGTTATTCCATCTCCAATGGCCCCAAATGTTCGTAAATCGAAAAAGTTTGATGCATTATGGTAGTTCTCGTTAAAACTGGGGCTAGGACTAGGAGCTTCATCAGGAGCACTAGAAGGTGCAGAGAATGGAGCAGGAGATGGTGAAATTTCAGGTGAATTATGATAATGTGAGTGCTTGTGTTTGGTATGGTAATGGTGCCTAGCTTGGATGGGAAGAAATAAAGTAAGAAAATATAAGGAGAATACTAGTGGTAAAATATTAGAATGCCTCATTCTGAGTATTTTCTAGTACAAAAAAGAATTAAAAAGGTTAAGATGTTCAATTTTTGAAAACTTGAGACTCCAATTGGCTTTGTGGCTGTGAACAACTTGATGAAAGAAATGAAGACTTTGAACTTTGGACTAATTGGGGACCCTGAGTTTTGGGAAATTGAAAGAAAGCAATGGTTATACCTTGTACAATTGAGCACTAGGAGCACTATAGAGCACAAGTTGCAACAAGTTTAATTTTGAGTTGGGCCTTTGGAGTACATGCAGAATCATAAAGGGTGGGTTACTATATATAATAAGAAGCCATAGTGGACAAGATGGTAAGTTTCATTTGCACATATGAATTTTTTATTGGTTTTAGAAGTGGAAACCGACAAATACTACATAGGCATTGGTCTTCTTTTAGAGATTGTGGAGTCTGCATATGACAATTCTGAAAAGAGCAAAAAGGAATAACTAGAAGTCAGGCTGGGTAGTCGACAAGCCTCGCATGTTCTTCCCATTACTTTTCTATCCCATAACTACGAGGGATTTGTTGTGGATAATATTTCTTAAGCAACAAAATTATATTGAATAACAATGTAGTAGTTTATAATTATTAAGACACTCTTTTAATTAACAAAAAAAAAATTGCTTACATAAATTTAGCTTAGTATGGTACATGAGTTGGATGTAATTAGTTAATCTCATTATTAACTATAGTAAACTATGATAATTGACTATCATTAACTATATGGTAGTTATCAATTAATGAATGATGTGATTGAGGTGTACTTAACCTAGTTGCAACTATTTTTTTTCATTTATTACTAGTTTAGGATCCATTTCTAATAGTAAGTTTCAAGTTTATGTGTTGGTATTAGTGTAACGATGATATTATTAGTGATAATGTTAGTAGTAGTAATGTTGATGACATAAATGATCAAATATCAAATATAGTAAAAATGAACTTTTTTAAAATTAATATTTTAATTTACAATTTCTTTTATTATTTTGAAAATGTATGTAAAATCATGTTGAACTTGAAATAAAAGTTATTAAGTTTTATTTAAACACATTTTAGTTTAAAGATTGATTTGAAAATTAAAAACTTGTAACCATCACTCTTATATAGTATGTAGGGGTGAGTATACGAGTTTGCCTGACTCGTTTAAGGTTTGTCCTATAAAGTTTGCATTTTTAATGGATTAGATAAATTAGCCCTGTGAAATAAATGGTCTTTTTTATCTAAATTTGTATTTGCCTTACAAAATTTGCAATTAAATAGGCAAGTCCATGAGCCCAAAAAAATTTTAAAAATATTTTTCCTTCTTTTTTATGCTAAGAAATAAAAAAAATATTACATAAAAATATAAATATCAAACAATCTAAAATAAAAATATGGAAGTTTTAATATATAAAGGTTTATATATTTAAATTAAAACATTAAAGTATTAATATATCAAGATTATATATTTAATCTAAAACATTATTATGCATTAAAAAAACTAAAATATATTAACGTAAAAAGGTACAATATATTTTAAATAGAAAATATACTAAATTCAATACTTATTATTTATATTTATTTATTAACAAAATACAAAAATTACTCATATTTTAAAATCTTCCATAAAGATAATTAAAAATAATAATTTTCTTAAATGAATCGATTCGCGAGATTTACGGTTTACAAAATCTACAAATTTCATAAATCAGACTTAATTTTTCTTATAATTATATTTTTTTTAAAAAAAATAAGTCTATTAATTGTACGAACTACGATCGACCCATAGACCTAAACCCAATATCTACTCCTAAGTATTGGATATTAACCTCAATAGGTATAATTTTTTGTTGTAAAAAACATTAAATTGTTAGTTTATATATTTTGAGTTTATACTAAATATATTATTCAAACAAATAGTTTTTTTAGTACAAAATATTGATATACGTACATTATCAATAAATCAAATATTAAGTATAATCCATACATCATTTTGTTTGTGTAAACTCTTAAAATTAATTATATTAACATATTAATTTAACATAATCAAAAGGTATTTAATCATGAAGACAATTTTAATGGTTGGCAATTTTTGTATTTTTGTAAATGACAATTTTTTTTAGTATATATTAAGTTTATAAAAGTATTTTTCAATATTTACATATAGGGATTATATATATATATATATAT